ATGGAAGAAAAAAATAGGGACAACACTAGAAGCCCTAATAAATGGCATAAAAACACAATACAAACCATAAATAACAATGCACAAGCACCAGAAGAGAGACTAGATAACTGGGAGCTCCTAAAAAACAAACACTTATGCTCATCAAAAGAGTAAAAAGACAACCTACAGACTGGGAAAAAAATTTTGGCTATGACAAATCCAATCAGCATCTAATCTTTAAAATCTACAAGATTCTGCAAACCTCCCAACAAAAAGACAAATAACCCAATTAAAAAATGAGCAAAGGATATGAACATGCACTTCACCGAAGAAGATATCCAGGCAGCTAACAGACACATGAAGAAATGCTCACGATCATTAGCCATTAAATGCAGATCAAAACTACAATAGGGTTATCATCTCACCCCTACAAGGCTAGCATTAATCCAAAAAACACAAAATAATAACTGCTGGAGAGGTTGTGGAGAGACTGGAACACTTATACAATGTTGGTGGGAATGTAAAATGGTACAACCACTTTGGAAAATGATTTGGCCCTTCTTTAAAAGCTAGAAATAGAAGCACCATACGATCCAGCAATCCCACTCCTTGCAATACATTCTGAAGAAGTTAAGAGTCGTCACATGAATAGATATATGCACGCCCATGTTCACTGCAGCACTGTTCACAATAGCAAAAAGACAGAAACAACCTAGGTGCCCATCAATGGACAAATGGATAAACAAATTATGGTATATCCACACAATGGAATACTAATGTAACGATAAAGAACAATGATGAAGCCGTGAAACATAACGTGGAGGAATCTGGAGGGCACTATGTTAAGTGAATTTAGTCAGTGACAAAAGGACAAATATTGTATAAGACCACTAGCATAAGAACTCAAGAAAAGGTTTAAACACAGAAGAAAACATTCTTTGATGGTCACGAAGGTGGGCAGGGAGGGTGAGGGTTATTTACTAACTAGATAGTAAGTAAGAATTCTCTTAGGTAAAGGGAATGACAGCACACACTACAGGGGAAGTCAGCACAACTGGACTAAATCAAAGCTAAGAAGTTTCCTGAATACAATCAAACACTTTGAGGGACAGACTAGCAGGGGGAGGGGTCTGGGGACCAAGCTTTCGGGGGACATCTAGGTCAACTGGCATAACAAAGCTTATTAAGAAAATGTTCTACATCCTACTTTGGTTGAGTGGGGTCTCGGGTGTCATATGCTTGCAAGCGGCCATCTAAGATGCATTGATTGGTCCCAACCACCTGGAGTAAAGAAGAATGAAGAACACCAAAGACAAGGAAAGTATTAGCCCAAGAGACAGAAAGGGCCACATAAACCAGAGACTTCATCAGCCTGAGACCAGAAGAACTAGATGGTGTCTGGCTACCACCAATGACCACCCTGACAGGGAACTCAACAGGGAGTCCCTGATGGAACAGGAGAAAGGTGGGGTGCTGAACTCAAATTCTAGTAAGAAGACCAGACTTAATGGTCTGAATGAGACTGGAAGAACCCCGGAAAGCATGGCCCTGGATTCTCTATCAGCCCAGAACTAAAACAATTTCCAAGGCCAACTCGTCAGACAGGGATTGGACTGGATTGTGGGACATAATTTGATACTGGTGAGGGGTGTGCCTCTTAGCTCAAGTAGACACAAGAGACTAAATGGGCAGCTCCTGTCCAGAAGTGAGACAGAAAGGCAGACAGGGTTAGGAGCTCGTTGAATGGACATGGGTAATCAGAGATGGAAAAGAGGAGTGTGCTGTCACAGTATGGAGAGAGCAATTAGGGTCACATAGCAATGTATGTATAAATTTAATATGAGAGACTAACTTGAAATGTAAACTTCATTTAAACTACAATAGAAAAAGAATAAAGACATTCACCCTTAAAAAAAAAAATGAAAAAAAAATTTAAGTATATATACGAGTTGTAATTGACTTGACCACATGGGTTTGTTTTTTTAATATGTATGTATTTGTTTTATATATATATATATTTACACATTTACATATATAAACAAAAAAATAGAGACTATATCTGTTTCTTCTTCATTCTTACCTTAATTTCAGCCAAAGGGGAAAAAGCACCAGAAACTAAAAGCTAGAAGGGTATATTAAAAAAAACAAACTCACTGCTGTCAAGCTGATTCTGACTTACAGTGACCCTATAGGACAGAGTAGAACTGCCCCATAGGGTTTTCAAGGAGTGGCTGGTGGAATCAAACTACCCACCTCTGGGTTAGCAGCCAAGCTCTTTAACCACTGCATCACTAGCGTTCCTTAAATGTGTTGACTATAATTGTCTTGGGTGAAGAGATCATAGATGACTTCTGCTTCTTTGTATTTTCTAATTGATTATCAATTATATAATTATATTACCTTTTAAATTTGTTCAGCTTTTTTAAGTAAAAAAGAAAAAAAATCAGTTGCATATCCAAATTTTCAGTCATCTCTAATGGAAGGTATATCAGTATAATATGATATTTTACCTTTAGGTCATAAATAAAACTTATACCACAACATTTCTTAACACTATGAAATAAAATTTTGGCACACAGCCAAACGTATCACCCAACAAAATTAATCATGAATGGCTGATTTTAATAAATTAAGCATTGCACGAAAACATGCTAGTAAAAAAGCAGACATTAAATACATCTTCCCAAATAATTCTTAAAACAGCATCCTAAATAATATTTTACAATCACATGTAACATACATACTTCAGAATAATAGAACTACATGAAATTTAATACAAAAGGACTCAGAGAAATCTCCAGGTTAGCATTTACACAGCATTTATTATTTTATCTGCCAATGTAACTAGAAAGGTGATACACAATACCTTTGCTTTGTGTAGAATGGAAGCATATATGTTTAAGTGCCTTTTCATACAGCACTACTGAAATCAGAGCCAAGATTTAGATCAGGGAAATCTAAGTTTCCTGTACTAGTTTACTCCTGAGAACTATTCTAACATGCAACATCTTCCATTTTGTAAAATTTCTTTTCTCAATTGTATCTTACCAGTGACTCAGGATTTAAGAAGCTTAGCATCTTTCCACACTTTAAATGGTACTGTAGGCCCCTGAATAGCTTTGATCTGGTGGATAGTTATGGAGAAGGAAGTGGAGGAATAAGGGCACAGACGAAAGGACAAAAATCATCTATATTAATGATTACAGTAACAAAGTTACTGTGAAAGCTTTAACAGATGATCAAAAGTGTGGAATGGTGGGCAGAATACAACTGGGAAACATGATACCTGAGTTCTGAGTCTAGATTCTTATAGTTAGTTGTGTGAGCTTGGGCACGTCAAGGTCTTTGGAAATAACTTTCTTCAACTTAGAAACACAGTTTAGACGAGGTAATTTTTAAAACCTCTTTCAAATCTGTGGTTATATTACTCTAAGGAACACATAGCTGTGGACACCTAACTTACTGTCAGGTACTGCTGTGGCAACAGTGAAAAATATCACTTCCAAAACAATTTAAAACAATAAATGAACTAACATTTTCAAAGTCTGATGCAAATACAAATAACTGGGTTACTGTTAATCCCATGAATAGTTCTTATTTTCTTTCATTAAGAAAACTTTAACCTCCTTCTGGTTTAAAATGTCGTAGCTTTTTTTGAAATTTGTGTAACATAATTTGCTTGGTTATAAGACTTAAATTCTACATAACAGTTTAACTTTTTTTCTTGGAATTAATATTCAAATGTATCCACAATTATACTTTCTAATAAAACTGTTTTTAGTAAAGTTTTAAAATAGTCATAAAAATTCCCATTTTCTTTAGTATGTATTCTAACCATTCCTGAAGTGATAAACACAATTTATAAAACTAGATGTTTAACCTGAAAGTTTATAGGCTTTTAGTGTCATCAGTTTGAATTAAACATTCTCTCATATAACAAATTAATGAAAACTTAATGAACAAGTATCTATATTGATATTTGATACTCTGATGATATGCAGGGAAATAATACTCCTTATATTGATATATATATTCAACAAATATTATCAGGCTTGATTCTCCCCTTCTCTCAGAAAGAGAACAGCAATATATTTTTACCATGCTCCCAAAACTCAGTTTTATTTTGCTACCAAAATCCAAAAAAAACCATTGCTGTCAAGTCGATTCTGACTCATAGTAACCTTACAGGACAGAGTAGAACTGCTCCATAGGGTTTCCAGAGAGCGGCTGGTGGATTCAAACTGCCAACCTTTTGGTTAGCAGCTGTAGCATTTAACCACTACACCACCAAGGCTCCTATTTTGCTACAGAAGAGGTTATTTCATTCAACTAGATCATTTCAGCACAAGTTGCTGCTGATGGGAAATAATGTATTATTTACTGTAATAAGACAAAAACCCCCATTCATATTTGAGGGAAATGACATGTTGGGCCATTCCAAACACCTCAATTTCCCATCTCATCCTACCTTACAAAAACAACCTTAAAAATTAGTATTCTGGTTTTTTTTAGGAGGCCCTGGAGACGCAGTGGTTAAGTGTTTGGCTGCTAACCAAAAGGCTGGCAGTTCGAATCCACCAGCCACTCCTTGGAAATCCCATGGGGAAGTTCTACTCTGTGCTATAGGGTCGCTAAGAGTCGAAATCTACTTGATGGCAACAGGTTTGGGTCTTTTTGGTTTAATATAGGGCATCTCTACATTCTCTCCTGAGTAGTAGGGCCTAGACTGGCCATGAAGGCAAAGAATTCTTCTTGTATGCTAAAAATGTAAGTATCAAATAACCATTATCAACCCTGTGTTAGCCTACTTCTCACATACATTAAGTGGGGAAAAGTGGGGCTCACAATAGTAAATAAACGATGACAACAATGAACATTATTTCCTTATTATATGTTACATGGAGCCCTGGTAGTGCAGTGGTTAAGAGGTTCGGCTGCTAAACCAAAAAGTCAGCAGTTCGAATCTATCAGCCGTTCCTTGGAAACTCTGTGGGGCAGTTCTACTCTGTCCTATAGGGTCGCTATGAGTTGTTATCGACTCGATGGCAATGGGTTTGGTTGGGTTTTATATGCTACACGCTTTACATTAGTTAACAAACTTTATTTCATTCTCACAACAACTTAAGAGATAATGATGGTAAGTCGCTGAATATGATAATGAAGAAGAAAATGATCAGGAAGTTTAAGCAAATATTTGATGTTAAACCTATGACACATGCTGATGATCTCACATCCCCCAAAGCTGCTGTACTGTGTGCTTGTTTCTATTTTTCCTTTTACTTCTCTGGAATTCGAAAATATCTTTTAGTTCTAACAACTAATTCACTACAATAAACACTTAACAATCTATTCTAGAAGACATTGTGTTTGCTACTACGGAACACACTCAGCTAAATGAGACTGAATGACCAAATCTCATGCTGATAATACAGATTGCTGGTAATTTCAACTCTGAAGTATTCCCCTAGGTCTAGCAATAAAATTTTTGAAAAAAGGTTTCTGATTTATCTATGAACTTTTTTCTTTTTTAAATCTATAGCATTGATAAGTTCTTACAAAGTGATCCATGACATCTTATCTTTCACCCGCACTGCAGCAAGAAGGTAATCCTACTGAACGGCTATCTCAAAACCTGTTACATAACCTGCTGAGTTTTCTGATATTCTAATACTGTACACAAAATGTTGGAATTCCTTAAATCTTATGAATTCCTATTTCATTATATAGATTGAATGTGGTCCACCATCTCTAATAACAAGCAGCTATTTCTTCACAGAAAGGCTATCTCTGCATAGTAATACATGATTTTAGGTTCTGACAGTTAAAATGGATTTGTGGAGTTCAAATTTAATACCGCGGTCTTAACAGAACCTACAGTTCTCTGAGGCCACGTGGGAACATGAAAAAAAGCACACTGATGCTAGAGGTAGCCAGACTTAGATGGATTTAATCAGTCTTAGTCTGTCAGTTGGTCAAGTTATTTCATTTCTCTGAGCCTAGGTATTTTTTCTGTAAAATGAAGCTAATAACACCCTGATTGTTGTAAAGATGAGAAACTACACATGTAAAGGTCCATTAGAGAGGATACAATAGGTGCTTAATAAATAGTCACTGTTAATTCTCATCTATCATCTCTGCATTGCATTACTGGCTAAAGCAGCATTTCAACTCTGAGAGTATACAATTGATCTGCCATCAACTAGCTGTTAAGGTCAAGTATGGGACCAATTAATACAGGATATGCAGAGACGAAGTAAATAAAGGTTCTTCAGACATTGTCTGCAAATTTACCCTCCCATGCAGCTGTCACCTAAATATAAACTGTAAAACTCTGGATTATGTAAGAAGACAATAATTGCGTTAATCACCTTTTTGGCTTTCTTCTGGAAAATAATAGTAAAGGCAACTTTGAACTCTTGTGGAATTTCCGTAACAAATGTGTAAGTATATAGCTACCATGAGAGGAGTATCTTTTGGTATCACTGAGATGATAAAGAAACAGAGATAGAATATAAAAACACAAATTTCAGAGGTGGATTCATTATAAAGAACCTATGATTGTTGCTTAAGCCTGGAACAGATAAAGTACGCTCATTTTAAAATGTAAGGTAAAAATTCTTAAGTAAAATCCCTCTATGATTATTATTCTACTAAACTACTGCCTCAATTGATAAAATTGTAACTTTCACAGTGTAAATGCAACTGCTTTGAGTTAAAGATAAGTTTTAAAAGAAATAATACATGCATGTTCTCCAGTGACTATTCATTTTAAAGCCTGAATCTATCTAGATGCACAATCAGTCACAAATTCAATTAGTTTCTATGATTATGACACCGAGATGATTTCTTTTTACTCTCGGAATTAAGCACACTTAAATAACATGCATAGCTTAATGAAAATGATCATGGATCATTCAAGTGTAAGAATTTTCAGGACATGATAAGGAGTTTTATAATTTAATGGACATGATAAGAGTTACGCATTTAGCTTTTCATTTGAGGCCGTTTGTTTACCTATGGTTCAAGAAGTGCTTTCACTAACTAAGCTCTAAAGTATCTTTTTCATTGTCAGCAGAAGTTTCTGGCAGTGAATTAAAATCGACTGCTCTAGCTATAAATGATTAAACAAACAGTTTTAAACCCATGGCTAAATGGCTATTAGATAAATAATAACTAAATAAGATAAGAATTAGAATTATTAAAACACTTTTGAGAACACAGTTCTACTTGGAGGGCTCCATGGAGGAAGTGCCTCATTTTCAAGAAAGGAATGACGTTTCTTTTGTTTTCGTTCTATTCTTTCCTGTCTTTCTTTCTTTTCCTAAAACGAAATTAGAAAAGTGTTAAGTTTACGTACTTTTATGGACATGATTTTCAAATCAAGTTGCTTGCTGAAGTACAAAATAAACATTATTAAATATATACGTATCATCTTTTAGATTAACTGGTTATAAAGGAATATCTGCTAATGAATACTGCCAATTTTTAAGTATATTATCAATAGATATTAAGGTACCAATTAAATTGGGTCTCATTTTACTTTGCTTATTATTGACCTTGAGCATATTTTCAAACATCACTTTAGGCCTTTTGTGAATTTTATGCTTAACTGGTTACCCATCTAACTACATAGGTGCATAGGTATCACTGCTTTTAATTTTCAGCAATTTGCATATTTTCATGTACTAAATATCAACATTATCCTTGCAACTTTTTCTCCACATTACCATTTTTAGTCCTTAATTTTCACAAAAATGTATTAAGAAATATTTCAGTCATGAAAAACTGTTTAGAGAGTACCCACTAGCTACCTTATTAAATAAAACATGACCAAATACTTTTGAAACTCTGCGTCCCCTCTCACTGTATCACCCTCCCTCCCCACACCACTGAGGTAACCACAACATTGCAGTGCATCTCTTTATACTTCTACTACACATGTACTCATCCCTAAATGACAAACAACTTTCTTTTGCAGTTTTTTAAACTTTGTAATAAAAGGTATCATGCTATATATTCTTTTGTAACTTTTTTATATTGTTGTTATAATATTTCTAAGATTCATTTATACATAGCTATAGCTCTAGTTCACTTGTACAAAATTCCATCATATTAACATACCAACTCATTCATCTATTTGTTGGTTGAAGACATGTATGATGCTCCCTTTTTTTTCCCTCACTTAAAAACAATGTTACTGTCAACATCTTTGTTTCCTTGTGCATATAAACCAAGGGTTTTTCTCTGTGGATATGCTGGGAGTGGAATTCTTGGTTTGTGGGGTATGCACATGCTCCACTTCACTGGACAATGTCCATTTATTCTCCAAAGTGGCAGTAGGGCTCTACACTCCCACCAACACCTACACAAACTTTTTAATTTAATGTACTGATGTTTCAAATTTTGATTTCTGTTCATCTTTTCCTTTCTGATTTCTCCTAGTACTTATAAGTTTAAAAAAGTATGTCCATTCTCGTGAGATTCAGAATATTGAGAACTTATAGAATATAATATTCAGTTCTATTTTTTGGTATTCTATTGTTTGGCTTTTTAATTGAACACTTTGATTCTTTTAGAGTTTCTACTGCTGTAAGGCAATGCCCAAAAGTCATGTTATGTCCAAATGTCACCCAAATAATACCAATAGTTATTTCTTTGCCTCCATTAATTTGTAATACTTTGTCATATACCACATCTTTACATGTGAAAGGTTCTGAGGTGTCCTGTGGGTCTATTATTCTACCGGTACTCTATAGCTTCAATTGGTATTTATTCACTGAATTGTTAAGCACTAGATCCTACTCTGGGTCAGGCATAAAGTGACTGTAAAACTCAAACCCACAGATAGGTCCCTGTCCCCAAGAGAACTTTCAAAAGGGACAGATAGTAAACAATAAACATATACCTGCAAATTGTGTGAATTTCTACAAAACATATAGACAAGCTGTTGTGACTGAGAATAAAAGAATGTACTTACTTTAAAAGCAGATTTAGGCAAACAAATCTACAATCAATAAATGAAGAAAATAACTACTGAATGTCCTGAAGACAGCAGACAATAACAAAATATATAAAAAAACAGGACAGGATGGTTCCAGGAAGTGTCCAAAATAAAACACCAGATGATTTTCCAGTAGAAGAAAAGGCACTGGAACTACCTGATAGGGAATTCAAAACTCTAATATTCAGAGCTATCCAAGAGTTGAAGCAAAAAGCAGACAAAAATGAGGAAAAAATAGACA